AGAATTTTTTATTCACTTCCTGGAACTGATAATAAAGGAGAGGTGAAGAAAAGAAATGAAATCCCTTCCTTCTCGAATACAGGTGCATTTTAAGGAGTCGAAAGGGTTAAGAATACTAAACAGGTTGCGTAACCCTTTCCTTACCTAACAGCAGGTGAAACTTTGAGAAAAAAAAAATATATATTCTTCTCTTCTAGTCAATATTTAGTTGATAAAGGAAGCGGAAGTATCCGGGAATCCTTCCAAAAAATGGTGGTTTTGTTTATTTTCACACTGGTCTTTCAAAAATTGCACCACTCTAAAAATATTTTTGTGACTGTAGAAGTTTTCATGAGTAACATTCTATTTATCAAATTTTAAGGTCACATTACAAAGGCAATTTTGATAATTTTTTGTTCCTTACATCGAATTTATTGTTTAAAAATAGTTTATTTTAAACAAACGTATATTTTAAACAAGCTTTGTTTTAAAATATTTTTTTTTTAATTTTAATTTTTTGTATTTCAGTTATTGAACTGAGCTAATACGTCAAATCCATTAAATTTTGAAGTTACAAGCTACAACAGCAATGCAATAAATTAGCCAAAAATTTGCGAATGCACCATTGTTTTCTAAAAGGAAAAAAAATCTTTTTTTTTTGTACTTTTAAGGGTATGGATTGTTTCAAATTGTACAAAACTGAAAAAAATAGGGATTCACAATTTCTCTATGTATGAAGATGTAAGTTCAATAGATTCATTTAAAATTTAAAAAATAAATAAATAAATAAAAATTTTAAGTTCTTTAAAAATTTAAGTATATTAAGTAAAAATTTTAAGTATTGTTGTTTATATTAAACAGTCATGATACCAGGTAGTCGCGTATAACTGTTACAAGTTATTGAATTTACCTTGTATATCATCGTATTTATTAACGCTTTATTATATAAATCTTATTTTTTTGCTTTATCAACTAAAGTTTTTAACGATTAAAAAATATTTATTTTTGGACCAAAATAAGAAGGGATAGTTAAAATTGAAAATTTATTTTCATTTTTTATGACATTTGAAACTAAAGTTAGAGAAGAGGGAAATAAAATAAATTAATTTCGGAAATTAGGAAAAAGGAAACGAAAATGCTTTGCTTCTGCCTTAAAGAAAAATTTTCCAATTAAAGATTGATAGCAGGTTCTTCCATTATCTATTTTCAAGCATTCAGTCCCAAATTATTTAGGAAACAAAATATATAAACTTTTATTTCTATCAAATTAAGCGATAATTTTTTTTTCTAATTAAATGTCAACAAATACGGTTAGATTCTTACACAGGATGTTTCGTTATCAACTCTATTGATGTACGTTTTTAGAAAAATAAATTCAAAAAAGGATAAACATTAGGGTCGTAAGCGCTATTAAAGTCTAATAGAAAGACATGATTTAAAAACCAAAACCTATTAGATTGCCTTATGAAACTTCAAGGTGTGTTTTTAATACATAACATTTAAACTCTTCTCTGTTTCATCCGGCAGTGAAACGAGTTTCGATATTTGTAGTTCACCATCATCGTTTAAATATCAAGTGATAAATATTCTTTAAATATTGTTTTAATGTTAATTTTGCTATACCTAATGTTACTGTATACTATTTGACATCATTCTTGACAAGGATTTTATAAATATATGTTAAGGGTGGTGATTTCGGTGCATACTGAATATTGATTGAATATACAACCAGAATACAAGCTGTATATTGATTCAATGTACAACAAATACAAGCTGTATATTGATTCAATGTACAACAAATACACTTGCTGTATATTGATTCAATGCACAACAAATACACATGCTGTATATTGAATCTTTATACAACCGATATACATGTTATATATTGATTTAATGTACAATTGATAAACATGCTGTATATTGATTCAATGTATAACAGTTATACATGCTGTATATTGATTCAATGTATAACCGTTATACATGCTGTATACTGGTTTTATACTTATTATATATACAACCAGTGCATGCTGTATATGGATTCAAAATTGCATGCTGCATATTTTTTCTCACATGGTGCTCCAGAGTAATGTTCTTAGCGAAAAAACACCGAATTGCAAAATTTATCATTAATATAAAATAAATTAATCAATAAAAGATATTATATCTTCCAATAAACTGGACACTGAGCTTCTTTTTTTTCTTCTTTTTCTTCTAAATAAAACTATAACTCCATAAACAACGCCAAAAGTCATTCATATGAATAGTCAAAAAGGAGTGCATTTATAATGATTTTATTAAAAAAGAAACAGGTATGCTGCACTTCCCCGAAATTCAAGGGGAAGCAATTATAAAAGCAAAAGTTATCTCATTCGGTCAACGACCGATAGTCTACGAGAAATCTATCCTTGAAAAATCTTTCTTTTTCTTCACCCCCTTCTTATGTTTTTTTCTTCACCATCATCTGGATGAACCGAAATTGGGTCACTAGTGAATTCGACCCTTTCCTGTTGTGTAGTAAAGGTATCCGGATTTCTTTTTTTTTTTTAACCCCCTCCGATTAGATTTTTTCTCTCCTTCTCCTTGCATTTTCTTCCTTCCCACAGTCATTATTGCTTCTCCTTTACCCCGGTGGCTTCCGGACCCCTGCCCCTATTTCCTCGTTTTTCTTATATCCCCTCCCCTAGGAGGAAAAAAAAAACCAGCCTGATAATAATAATGAAAAAAAAAAAAAAACTAAGAGCCACTGACATACTGATGCATTCTGGGATTTATTATTAATAATTTTTTTTCCCCTGCTCCATCCCTACATTGTTATTTTATTGATGCCGAAGAAAAGAAGAAATCTGTCGTAATCGAACGGAGAATAATACATGCTTTTCTCACGGCTATCTATAGTGATGTGCACAAGGTGGAGTTTGATGAACTGTTCATGAAAGACGGACCGTAAGTGGTGTGGTGTCAAAAGCTCGTGCCTGTCAATGCCCCCTTTTGCACCAAAAGGAGAGGAGAAAGAAGAAAAAAAAGGCTTAAATGTGAGAACAAGATGAGGTGCTTTTGTCCGACAACAAGTTTTAGCTGTTTTGTGACGTTTCGACTAAATTGCTCTATTAAAGTGGTTGTGTACATGTCATTTTGGGTTTCTTTTTGCTCTTGTTTGAAGCAATAAAGATTGATGGACAAATAGAAATTACACGACTTATTCCAATGCCTCTGGAAGTATTTGTGATGCTCATAAATTTTCCCACTATATATTTTCCTTTTCTATTATCTATCACTCCTTTTAGTTTCTTTACTTTCGTTTTGTTTATTTTAGTTTCGATTCGAACCTGTAAAAAGCTTTCTTATTTTTTTCTCCATGCAAGCTTCAAGCTAATCTTCCGATTTTGACATTTTTCTGTAGTACGACCTAAGCCCTTCCAGGTCTTTCCTGATGTAAACAAAACAGAATGTACGTTATTAAATGTTTTAATTATTTTTTTTTCTGGATTATTTTTGAGTTTATTTATAAATAAGAGTGATTTGTAGGTTATGACATAGGTAAATACAGGGAAAAATATATAGAGGAAAGATATTGCAATTTTTTTGATGAAATAATGGGTGGTTATACGACGATTAAAATATTTTTATCCATAATGAGATATTGAGAGATAGATGAAATTTACATGACAGTATTCTGTTCATAATTTCATAGTGAATTTTATTTATTGTCTATTCCTTCTTCTGAGATAGCAATAAAAAATGCCTCTAAATTATTAGTAATAGATTTAAGAATTTTTTTTTTCTTATTTATTAGAAGTTTTGCATTGTTCTTTGGTACGCTGTAAAATATTTAAAATTCTATAAAAGAGAAAAACTTGTGAATTTTTTTCGTAATTTCATCTTGACAATTTAAAAAAAAAAAAAAATCTTGATTTTTTTAAACCGAAAATTGGCGTGGAAATTTATTTTTTTTTTATAAATAATATTTTTATATTTATATTATTTATTTTTATATTTATATTATTTCTTTTTATATTTATAAATATAGGGTGTTTCGTAAAGACTGCCTTTAATGAATATTTTTAGAATCCTTATAAAAAAAAAAAAAAAAAAAAAAAAAAAAAAAAAAAAAAAAAAAAAAAAAAAAAAAAAAAAAAAAAANAAAAAAAAAAACGTCTGCACATGGAAAAAGAAATCCTAGTAAATTTGTCGTACTGCATTTGTCGTACTGTCGTAAGAGCATTTCTAGTAAAAAAAAAAATCTGTTTTCCATGTATGACGAAAAAAAAAAAATACAAAAAAAAAAGTTAATTTAATGAAATCAAAGGTTTTCATTCCCTGTTCTGAGGTATCCTGATAAAATTAACAAATGTATTACATAAACATTGTTAAAAAAGTGAACTTTCTTCCTTTTCTTCCCTTTTTTCTCTCCAATTTCTATTAAAATNAAAAAAAAATTCCGATTTCCGTCTTCGAGTCAGTCTTGTTTCCGTCTTACTTCCGTCCGCGGACATTTTCGAAAGACGGAAATCCGTCCTGGGGACGGAAGACTTGTACCCATGTCCTTTTCTTCCCTTTTTTCTCTCCACTTTCTATTAAAATTTGATGTTTTATTATGATGGTACATTTCTTCTGTGATAATAATTTCAATTCATATACATTTAGTGATAAATCCGAAAGTGAGTGATGATTTTATGATGAATAAAAACATATTGGCGGAAGAGATTTGCAAATTGCAACTAGCCTCATTAACAGTTTATAATTTTATTAGAAAAATAAATTAAGGAAACAAGTTAATAGATTTGAGAAGTCATTCCTTTTTACTTATTATAATAATTGAACGCAAAAATTAATTTTAATTAGAGGTAATAACAACTAGTAACTAATAGGCCAATACTTTTCTCTAAACTTTTCTCTATTTGGAAATTATTTCACAGTGTATGAAATAATTATTTAGTTTAAAATTTTTTAACTTAACTTTAAGAAAAAATATTAAAATTATGCAATATAGAATAAAATACTTGTTTAGTTCATAAACATACTTTTTTCTGGATCCACCTTGAAGGCTACATCTGAATTCTTGTTTCCCTGCAAAATAAATAAATAAAATAAATATACATAAAAATAAATAAATGCAACACATAAACGGTAAATAAAAGTTGCATGATACAGAATAAATGCAAATGCAAGTAAACAAGCTAAATTATGGAGGAGAAAATGTAGGTAGTTTTTACACAATCAATAAAATTATCCATGCATATATATACAGTCAAACCCCGCTATAGTGAACCTTCAAGGGACTGAAATTTGGATCACTATAACCGGGATTTCACTATATCCGTTCCGCAAACAAATTTAACTAATGATTCCGAACTCCTTTTTATTATACATTATTTTAATAAATGACCAATAAAATGAAATACAAAAATGACTGAAACATATTACGTAGTAGCAAAAAATGCGTTAACTTTTTTTTTTTACTCTTCGTCTTGTGTACAAAAAAAAAAATTAGTAATCTTTAGCTGATGCAGGGAAAATTTTGTCCATACATCTGCCTGGGCAGGCCTTAGTTTAGGGATGGAAAACTGTGATAAAAGAAGAGAACAAGAGAAAATGTTTATTGCCACATTCCACTCTCTATAGATGGTTTTAGAAATCGGTATAAGTATTTATTTTGAAGTAGACATTTCAAAATTAAAAAAAAAGTTAAGAAGAAAAATCAGTCGAAGACGGAAAAAAGTTCATAATATCCAACTTCCTCTCTTGTTTTGGTTCACTATATCCACAAAAAATAACATTATACGTGTATAACAAGGCATGGGACCAAACATTTCGGTCACTATATCCGGGAATTCACTATAAACTGTGTTCACTATAGCGGGGTTTGACTGTATATACACTCAACAATAGCTAGTGCTGTCTAACTCAACAGAATTATGCTGAATTGATTTTTCGTAATCTTAATGTTAGTTTTGATGTTGATGTAAATTTTAAATTGATTTTGGGAATTTGTACAAAAAATGCACGGTAAGAAATAACTAGAGACAAAATAATTGTCATTTGTATTTTTTTGTGTGAATGTAATTTAATTCATTCAAACTAGTATATTTATATTTAAGTACGAAATAGCTGCAGTATTTTAAAAGGCAGTACTTTAACTACTGACTTCTCTATTATAATTGAATAAAAAATACCTGTTTATCATTCTTCAACATTAATTCGAAAGTAATTTAAATAAATTCTTGTAAACAATAATAGTAATTGTTCACTTATCAGCATTGTCTCTAACACATGATAACGTATGTAGACCAAAGCAAAATTATTAATAATTTTGCTAATTTGTCAAAATAAATCATCAAAATGTCTGTGGTCGTTATTAAAACTTTTCTTTCAAGCAAGTAAATATTTGTTGAAAGTTAATGCATTAGTGTAAATAACAGTAATTTTTTTTTAACAACTGCAGTAGTTTCGGTGTTTACTTTAAAATTGCAATGAATACTTATTCTCCAAATCTCATTAAAAAGAAACCGACTATGATATTTATCAACATTGGCATAAGCGTATGATAATGTGAGTAGATAAAAAAAAAAAAGTAATTTTGTTCATTTACCAAAATTAAATCATCAAAATTTCTGTTGTCGTTATTAAAACTTCTCTTTCAAGCAAGTAAATATTTGTTAAAATTTAATACATTAGTGTAAATAACACTAATTTTTTTTTTAACAACTGCAGTAGTTTTGGTGATTACTTTAAAATTGCAATGAATACTTATTCTCCAAATCTCATTAAAAAGAAACCGACTATGATATTTATCAACATTGGCATAAGCGTATGATAATGTGAGCAGATAAAAAAAAAAGTAATTTTGTTCATTTACCAAAATTAAATCATCAAAATTTCTGTTGTCGTTATTAAAACTTCTCTTTCAAGCAAGTAAATATTTGTTAAAATTTAATACATTAGTGTAAATAACAGTAATTTTTTTTTAACAACTGCAGTAGTTTTGGTGATTACTTTACTTTAAAATTACAATGAATACATATTCTCTAAATCTCATTAAAAAGAAACCGACTATGATATTTATCAACTATTAGCGTATGATAATGTGAGTAGATAAAAAAAAAAGTAATTTTGTTCATTTACCAAAATAAATCATCAAAATTTCTGTTGACGTTACTAATACTTTTCTTTCAAGCAAATAAATATTTGTTAAAATTTAATACATTAGTGTAAATAACAGTAAAAATTTTTTTCAACAACTGCAGTAGTTTTGGTGATTACTTTAAAATTACAATGAATACTTATTCTCTAAATCTCATTAAAAAGAAACCGACTACGATATTTATCAACATTGGCATAAGCGTATGATAATGTGAGTAGATAAAAAAAGAGTAATTTTGTTCATTTACCAAAATTAAATCATCAAAATTTCTGTTGTCGTTATTAAAACTTTTCTTTCAAGCAAGTAAATATTTGTTAAAATTTAAAACATTAGTGTAAATAACAGTAATTTTTTTTTAAACAACTGCAGTAGTTTTGGTGATTACTTTAAAATTACAATGAATACTTAGTCTCTAAATCTCATTAAAAAGAAACCGACTATGATATTTATCAACTATTAGCGTATGATAATGTGAGTAGATAAAAAAAAAGTAATTTTGTTCATTTACCAAAATAAATCATCAAAATTTCTATTGACGTTATTAATACTTTTCTTTCAAGCAAGTAAATATTTGTTAAAATTTAATACATTAGTGCAAATAACAGTAAACTTTTTTTTTAACAACTGCAGTAGTTTCGGTGATTAGTTTAAAATTACAATGAATACTTATTCTCCAAATCTCATTAAAAAGAAACCGACTATGATATTTAACAACATTGGCATTAGCGTATGATAATATGAGTAAATAGTGCAAGTAATTTTGCAGTGAGTGCAAGTAATTTTGTTCATTTACCAAAATAAATCATCAAAATTTCTGTTTTCGTGATTAATACTTTTCTTCAGATAAAATACAAGCAGATATTTAACATATTTTTGAAGTAAAATGTAAATAATGACATTAACATTTGCGTAAAATAAAAGTGTAAACAATAACAGTAGTTTTTGCTGATTAGTTTCAGATGACAGTGAGTACTAATTCACTGAATCTCATTAAAAAAAAACCTACTCTATAATGATATTTATCAGCGTAAGCATTAACGCAGTATCAGCGTAAGCATTAACGAATGATAATATTACTGCCGGTCGACCGAATTTCCACGGTGGAATAATTACATTGATCAATGTCCTTATCGTCCGGACTTTGGCCAGACATCCATAAGAGGTTTTTCCAATAGCCGGACTTGATCCCCGAATCGTACTTAGGGGAAAAACAAGTCGAAGGAAAAAAAATCCCGCATCAATCAGTCCCCGAAATGGGAGGATAACCCCAAAATAACCCCAGTGTGGGGAGAGAAAGGAAGATGGAGAAAAAATTGCTTCCCGTGGGGAAGGGGTGTCCTCAGTTCATTTAGGAAAAACGTGTTTTTCGAAGAATGGAAGCTTGCACGCAGTGAGAAGAAAAAAAGAATTACTGGGAGAACAAACAACACATGTGTATCATGCTTATAAATTGTGTTTTTGACGGTAAAGAGAAAGGGTAGGGGTGAAAAAACCGACGGGTGATAAAGGGGTCTGAAGAAAAATGACCACTATAGTTTTGGTAATGGTTCAGCTGTTGGCGGCCAAATTGGGAAGATGGCTTAATGGTTCCAATAATCCCTCGGCCAAGCTCCCACCGTACTCCGCCATACTCATTCTAAGCAATATAAAAATAAGAAGTTTCTTTTTTTCGTGTTAGAAAATTATTTATACATAGTTCTAATACTAACTCATAGTACAATACTGGAAAATGGAAAAAGCTTTCAAATTTGATGACCTTCATATGGTGTCAAATTATAACATATTGCCATACTTATTTTTACGTTATAACACAATACTATAGTTCTGCTTGAGCTAAAATGCAACGCCTAATGGCAGCAACTTAACACAATATTGAAATTCGAGGAACCAATTATATGGTTCTGACTTTTCTTGAGAATATTAATTCATGACGAAATAGTGGAATGTATCGTAATAGCTATATATTTTTATGTAAAATATAAAATGATTTTAGATAATATTGGCTCGTTATATCTTCTTTAATTTCAAATACGAAAATTTTGAATAAAAAAGTTGAAAGAACAAAATAAAATGTAGATCATTTATTATTTCGTGAAAATATGTAAATAATGTCCTAATTGGAAATAAATCTTATGCAATATTTACAAGTAACAAATTTGTAAAAAACAGAAGCCTAATCTCTGTTACAACTAAAATAGTTGTAAAAATAATTATGATAATAATAATCATAATAACTGTAATTATTATTGTTATAACAAAATTACGGTTATAACAAAATTAGATAACTGGATTCTTGCAGAAAAACGTTTCATTACTTGTCTAAAATGTTATGTCAATAAAAGTATATATGTATCAGATAAATATTAGCTTCCGGTTATATTTGATTTAATGGTGGCCCTGAATTAACACAAAGGACTATGAACTAAAATAATAAATTTTTTTGTTGTTGAAAATACGTTTTTGCAAATGAACTACAGTATTTACATTTGCTTATACAGAAAATTGAGGAATTCACAGATACCTAAAATTGAGGAAGATTCGTGTAAGTAAATATTATTTTTAAATAAGACATTTCTTGAAAAAAAAATTTCTTCTGAAAAGCAAAAAGTGTGTTCCAAAAGGAAATAATAAAAAACATTACAACCTATTAAATAAAAAAAAAAGCATTAGATCAGGATAGGGATGTAACAGCATGGGAATACTGACAGGTGATAAAACGATCTTAAGAAAGATACTTATAGATTTTGGTAACAGTTCACCTGTTGAGGGGTAAATCTAATTCAGAAGATATCTCTTAGAATAAAATTACTAATCTCCCTATAGCCAAATATGAATAGAGATTCTCTGTTAAAAAATATGTTATTTCTACACCGAGAAAAAAGTATTGTCAACCGTGTTTACAGCGCTTCTGGCTCTATGACGTCAC